ATGAGGTTAAAATCAAAATTTCATATTTTTGCGAATATAATTTATATTTGAAAAATTCAAAAAATACACATCCGTATTTTTTTACAATGAAAACACGCATTTATAATTTTTCCTATGTAAAAAATTGCGGATGCGTCTTTTTTGAACACCCGTTTCTATATATGAAGGAGTTGCCAGATCGAAACAAAATTTAACATGTGTTCATAACAGAGATGGAAGTTTTTGTGCTAGGCTAAGAATTTTCCGAACTGTCCTCGTATTGACATAAATTTCGTGGTTGATACCATATAGACGGACACCCCACTATTATTCGGTATTTTGGGGATTTTGAGCACGTTTTTCAACCAACTCGGATATATTTCAGAGGTATATTTTATTAAGGTATGATATAGATTTATATCCATAATACATAAACCAACGATTTCATGCTGTTTTCATTTCACTTGATTTTAAAAATCTATCTATAAATCTTCACATTTGTAATCAGTGACCATAGCTCTATAAAACGTGTTAAAAAATAATCTAATTTATTACATTTTTAAAAAAATGTGACCGCCAATTTCTATCCAACCCTTTTTAAATTTTTACTTTTTTCTTGCATAATCGCAGTGAGAGTCCCCGAAATCCCTATATACCATATTTATTGTTTTCGTAAACACGCCACAAAATGGTATATCTGGCACATAGTGCAGAGGTTCAAAATAGAGCTCCTAGATTAACAAACCTATCAATCATGATTGAATTGTATTTAGACTGATGCACTAATGTTGCTACAACGACCCGGCGATTTTTGATATATGATTCATAAAAAATGAAAATATGTTAATGATATGGTGAGTATCTTTAATTGTTCATGAAAGAAAAATTCGATTCATATAAAATTTTAATTATCTATAAAAAAAGGCAACTTATCCACTGTACTAACACAGTCCACAATAGTTGAGAATTTATTAAGAACTCACACATGCAGACACACATCTTCCTAATACAATATCTTTCAGATACGGTTGGCTGATTAACATTTGGTAACGGATTGCATCGAACTATCGAAGATGCAGATAAACTTTAATAACAATTGAAAACCACTTTTCAGGCATTCCGACATAAACACCAGTCATATGTTTGTTTGTATGTACACATAGAGATGATATGTTTGACAAGAGTCAAGTGTCACTTGAATTTGTTTACTTCATCTCATACCCTGAACGCAATCCAAACACCCCTTGTATTCGATGGTTGGTAAAAAAAGAAGCGGTACAAGGAAGCAAACGGTGACAACAAAAAACCAACTGCGAGATTTGAAAAAGAAGTGCGGTCGGCTGGCCCCCTGAGGTGATTTCGCAAATTAATATGAAAAATTATGAAAATAAATGACAGTTTGTACATGAATGAATGAATGAATGACTGCATGAATGCTAAACTAACTAAACAAATATTCAAAGCCGAAAAGCCGAACAACAAATAATAGTTGCAACAACAACTTTTATTTTATTGCCTCATCGGTAGTTATGGGACAGACGGACAGACGTTCGTACGACCATACAGTCAAATGGTCACTCAGTTAGTCAGTTGCACATACAATACAGCTCGTGCGTCTGTATGTTTGTCATTTTGTTTGGGGTCTATTGAGTGCTCTTAAATAAACAAAATAACAGACATCATTGAAAATTAACTATACCCCGAGGTATGAACAATTTTTATTAAAGCTCTTTCATCATTTCTGATGATGTTGTCGCTGCTACTCCCTGTCTGTTTTTTTTTTTCTGCAGCTGCAATTGCTTTTATTGGCCTCTAATGTAATCATATTTTTCACAAGCAGTTATAAACAATTTCATCCTAAAGAGGCTAACAATTTTTCTGCTGTTTTTTTTCCTACCTCCCCAAAGCCAATTTGGCATTTTGGAAGTTCGTTTTGCACGAGTATTTCGTTCTATCCGTCCAATCGGCCAAGCATGACAAGCGATGTGGAAGAGTTCTGCTTCCCCATTTCTGCTGTTGTCGTTGTTTATTAACATATCATGTCAGGGTCGCATCTATTTGTTTGAATTATATGTCCTTAGTTGTTTATCTCATTTAGTTGAGGTTTCTTTTAGAAAATATCTGTTATGGGCAATAGTAGGTACGCTATAATTAAGAAATTTTATATAATTATAATAATAATTTCATTTGTAATGCCCTCATATTCAGTTCGTTTTTCCGTTTGTAACTCATCGGAATTCTTATTTCCGACCCTATAAATTATTATTTTATTGATCAGAGTAAAATTCTATACGTCTGTCTGTTGTATTAATTGTAGCCTCTAAACGAATGAAAATATATCGGCAAAATTTACAAAATTTGCTTTTGTCTGCAGCCAGGTCAAGTTCGATGATGGGCTTTATCGATCCACGTTTAGGAATAATCCTCACATAACGGCAACCCCTAATTTTCGGGTTTTTACGAGCAAGTTTTCCAAGAAAATTACATGTAATTTTGTATTTTGGTTTCTCATTATGAACTAAATCTCTCCCAATTTTTGTGTATTTTGGAGTGTTATTAGTGCTTTTTTTAGCAGAATTCGCTGTAATTTGGTATTCTATGTTCCTATTTGGTAACAAATCTTCTTACCATAAATTACTATTATCCCTCTACCACAAGGTCGAGTTTATATTAAATTTGTCATTTGTTATTCTTGATCAGAATAACATTCTAAAATTTATGCAGGTCCGTCTGTATATCTCCCATATAACCCACCAATATTCGGTATTTTGGAGATTTTGGACACGTTTTTCAACCGAAGATTCTGTAATTTGGTATTTTGAGTTCTCATTGCATAACACATCTCCGTGCTAAATATCAAGCTAGCCCCCACACAACGGTACCCCCCAATATTCAGTATTTTGGGATTTTGGACACGTTTTTTCCAACCGAGTTGGCTGTAATATAGTTTTTTTTTTTTGGGGTCCGCACCAAAAATTGTTAACATTGACCCCAGTTTCAGGGCAGTTTTCATATAACGGTACGCCCAAATATTCGGTACTTTGAGGATTTGGGACACGTTTTCAACCGAATTGGCTGTAATTTTTTATTTTGGGATCTCATTGTATAGCACATCGTTGTACTAAAAATTATTAAAATAAACCCAAGTTTCAGTGTGGCCCCCATATAACGGTACTCCACACCTCTTTACTACACATGATTTTACTACCCAAAATGATCAATATTGATCCCCATTTTGGTATATCCCCTAGCCCTCCTATAAGGTAATCATTTATTTCTCACGTCTTTTTCTTTATATTCAAAGTCCTATCTCCCAGAAACCCCAATAAATCTGTATCAGCAAATATTGCATGTTCCTTCCCTGATCCCCTAATATTTCCTGTTCTCATATTTTGAAAAAAAAAATTGGCTGGGAAGATATTTTTTGTATAATGAAAGTAACCGAAAATGGGCACATTTTAAGGCAAAACACAAATTGTAATAAGTATATTTATTTTTTGTAAATGTTGGAGGGTATCAATCTAAAAAAAAATTCTCTGATTTTTAATGGTGGTTTGTAAAGCTCCGGGTAGAACGGATAAAAAGGCAGTAGGTCGTGTAGTATATTTTAAGTTTACGTGACGTGATAACAAGGTATGTTAAATAACTTTGTCCTGACGAGATCAAATTGGTCGCTGAATGAGTAGGACATCAATTTATGGTTATCGTTATTTCCAGATGCCGGCGGAAGATAGGTTGTTCCTGAAGATGGGCTAAACTCTCTAACGTTCCATGCAAGGTTTTACACAGCAACAGGATTGCTACAACAACAACCCACTAATCAAGTAAATTCACACAAAGCTAGTCGATCAAAAAAACCTTCCAACTTGAACATTCGTACTGAGAAAAATTGGTTTATTCTCCACGAAATTATGGCGCATGGTCATCAGAAATGTGGCAAACTTTGATTGTGCACACCACTTACCCAAAAGTTTAGGGTGTCTTATTTATAATACAATGCAATTGAATAGAAATGGTAATATAGCCTAATAGTCATAGACAACATTCTAGGGCCCCGCTTTGCTAGGGCACATTTTCAATATAGCTTTTGAAATAATCTATTGTATCTAAGTCAAGATTATCAAAACCCCGGAATTTTCAAGCTCCGTGCCAAATACTGTCCACTTCAGTTTAGAACAGTTTCGTTATTCATTTATTACTTCCAGCTTTATTGCTGAAAGCGGAGGCATTATTCACATCTTAATAAAGCTAAATGTTTGATTCCTTTGTCATGACGAGCGTTGAACGTGGGGCAGGCCAACAAACGTGGAGAAAAAAACCAAGACACCACGAGATACAAAAAAAGACGCATCATTACGAATATAAAGTGCTTAAATGTAATCAAAGTATCAGCTTTGGGGTATTCCAAAAAATAAAAAATAAAGAAAATTTGCAAGTTTCGTTGCAAATGTACTGCAAACGTGTGTACTATAAATGGTAACAATAGCGTAAAAAAGTACACAGACACAAACAAATGTTGGAACCACAAAACACACAATTGACGATAATGTTGTAGACGCAGGCATAAAGATCATTTTGACAAAGCACCAGACGAATGGACAATATCATAAAGTACATCTGTTTAAACAACAGCCTACCGACATAGATATTTTGCACTGTCGTGACAACAACCGTGAATCAGGGCGACCTGATTTGCAGTGACGGTGGATGCCCATTAAAATTCTGTTCATAAATCAGCGGCAGTAGCAGAGGCAGGAGTTATTCTCTGCAGCATCAAAATATTTTAATGGATCATCCATCCATCCAGGCAGGCAGGCTGGCAGACAACCAGCCAAAATGCAGGATGTCAGATATGTTTGCTTGTAAAAATATGCTCACATCTATATATATATATAAGTTGTTCGTTCACTCAGATTCGTGGCCTGCCAACAAATGAGTTGTAATGAAATTGAAATTATTCATAAAATAATAACATTAAGAACGCAACAATGCATGCAAAGTGCCTTGGAAAGGAAACTTACCGCAAGATATGTACTTTGACCCCGCAAGCGAGGTGGTGGTTCCCGATATTCTTCACCATTTTCAGCAGCTTTGTCGCGCCTGCAAAAATAAAGAAGAAAACAAATATTGTCATAATAAATAAATTTTATTATGTATTTTATAAGTAATATAGAAAATTAATAAGTTAAGAAACTTGACTAACAATATTTGAAAATTTTCCATATAGTTAAGTATAAAGAAAGGACATCTATAAATTATGTAGAAATAAAATAATTAAGTTACTACTGTTTTAACAGAGCAATACGCATTATTTTAGTTCCAGTTTGGTACGTTGTGCAAAAATTCGTCCCAATCGGAAAAACGTTGTTTATTGGTACAACATTTAGATGAAATCGGTTGGAAATATATATGGAAGTTAAACCTCAACCGATTTCAATCCAATACTCTCTGCAATATTTCATGTAAAGCGAACAAACATAGGCTCCTCGGTGCACCATGTGCATAAAATTTGATGAAAATATATATGGGAGCTAAATCTAAACCGACCGACAGACATAAAACTAAACTTAATTCAGTAAGCTGTGCAAAATGTTTGTGCATCACTTACATAAAATCGGACGAAAATGAATGTGGGAGCTATATCTAAATCTGAACCGATTTTCTCCAATTTAAATAAGGTTCGTCCTTGGGCCAAATATGTGACTTGTGCCAAATTTCATTCAAATCGAATCATAAATGGGAACTGTACTTTGTTCACAAGAATACGTGGAAAGACAGACGGCATGCATAAATCGTTTCTAAAAGTGATTCTATGCATATTCTCAAAAGGAACCATGTGTCTATTTCGTGTCCTTTTACCTGTTACAAACATATGCACATAGACATAATAAACTGTACAACAGTGTGGATAAGGATATAAAAATACGATTGCTAAAGAAAGTATATACAATTTGATACGTTGGGAATGTGCTTAGTTGAGACAAGTGTCCGTCAGTCTTGCTAGCTGGTGCGCAAGGTCGTTGGTGAGAGCTAATCTACTAACTATGCTGCTTCGAAATTCTCATAGACATTCCATCCGGTATCAATATCCCTCGACACATTGAAATTCAAAATTAGTTTAATTTTTGAACAAATCTCGTATTATCAACTAACGATTTATTAATCAAAAATCATCTGGAAAAGGAAAAAAAATTAATCTGTTAAACCGCAGCATAAATCTATTAAATCTCAACACTTTTTAACAAGTGTAAAACTGGAAATCACCAACTTATGTCTGACTGGAATGTGATACGAATTTGTCAGACAGGCGGCATTGTTGTCAGTTTAATGTCAGCAAATTAAATGTATTTTTGTATGCAATACGCCCCGGTTGGCGCATTGTTTAAGCAACGGTATCAACATCTCACCCCCAAAACACACATGCCTACACGCATACACACACACACACAACAACAACAAAGGAGCCAACAGTAATGGCGAATTGGCAACCGAAAGAAAGAACTTCGAAGAAAATTGGCTTTTGCCACAATCAACTAACAAAAGTCAATGACGATGTTGATGAGTAGACAAGAACAGCAATTGGTATTGTGTGAGTGAGTGTGTAACAAGAATCCGCCAAGGAAGTCTACAGCTCACCTCACTTCTTCCTTTTTTGTCGACTACACTCGTGTGCATCCTGCCTGATTTCTGTTACAACAATAGCTATTGACTATCGTCGAGGATGTCAGGTTAACAAATTGTTGCAATTTACTCGAACTCGAACTCCAAACCAAACAACGAGATCAGCTGTGCTATGGTCTAGGAATAGATGCACGATTATGTTTGCCAACCTTGAAAGGAAGACATGGTATCAACATTACAGGAAGGGGAAGAGATTAGTTTGCTGCTATAGTGTTGAAATTACGGGACTCTTTACAGTGGTTTTAAAGGGCATTATCTATGTAATATTTAAGATGTATGTATGTTAATTCTGAAAAAATAACTAATCTTCTGTTGAAGCTGATGTTTACTGAATTATAAAATGTAAAATGTTTAAAAAAATTTCGATAAAAGTAACTCTTTTAAGAAGTATCTCAAAAATGTGGCCCCAAAATATAACCTGTGTGAAATTGAAGCCTAAAAATGCAGACCAGAACTTTATGAAAAATTGAAGAATGTAGAGAGGTTTCAAAAAAGTGTTATTTCGAATTACCCAGTATTGCGGTAGCTGACTCTTTCGAAGATTTTATTCTTTGACATTTGGTAAGTATATCATGGATCTGATCAAATGAGACCAAAACAGCAGTCGACATTTTTTATTCGAAGACAATTAATATTCCTGGACAATAATTTTCGCTTTGGAGGTGAGTAGATCGTAGTGGAAAAAATGATTCGATTAAAATTCAGTCGATGAAAAAGACTGATTAATGAAAATCACTATTAGTCTAGAAATATAGTAACCCTCGTAAAAACAATGCATTCAAAATGACAACACTTTTTAGTCTGTTTTGATGAACCTTGTCGGACCACAATGCATAAATTCTGATGGTAATTTCGATCTTTCGAGACAAGAAAGTGATGTGAAGAATAAACCACTTGCACGTTGAAAATGAACAACTGAGAATTCTGCTGCTGAAGCCCAAAATGTTGAAGAAACCCCAGGTTTATCCATTCCTGGTCGTTCATTGACATTTTTTGCATACAGACTTGGGTCTTACGGCTTCAAAAACTGTGATTTTGCCGATGGGGTCCCTAATGGATGAAAATTATACAACTCAAAATTACTAATTAAGAATCTTTATGTGGTCTGTAATATACTTTGATGCGGTATATTGTGTCCGATGGCGATCCATTCATTCATAGCCTTAAGACTTAAAACCGCGATGTCCGCTTATTTGGATGTCAATTGTCATTGTGACCCACATATACCTAGGCCGCATGTTCTCAGAACTCTCTATTCAGGACTCTAAGGATTGGATAAGTGTTTTGAAAACCCCCTCGATATCAAGGCAAACATCAGGCGGGTTTCCACTGATCTTCCCTTTACGTACGCATGTTGTTTGTTCCTGTGCGTATTGTTGTGTATGTTGCTTTTACTCATAGGGTCGACTGTCCTTTCCACCGTTTTGAGTTAGACGTTAGGCTTATTGGTTGATATGATTTTGGTGTTGCGAATTTTGCCTTGCCTTTGGTATTAAGGCTACCCTAGCTTCCCGTCAGACTTTCGGAGTGTACGCAAACTGTAGAGTTCTCCTAAATATGATGATATATAATCCGTCTCCTTTTGTAATAAAGTGGAAGACATTGTCTTCCTCTGCTTTGCATTGTGCATCACGCTCCATTTGTCTATCAATCTTCTGTTCCTTGTATTTTTCCTCCCTTAGCATATGTACATATGTGACTAAATCAATAAGCAACATTTTTGGTTTTGAAGGTACGAAGCTTGCATCAAGTTAGCCTTTTGAAAGTTGTTCCTCTACAACTCTCCCTGGAAATGCGGTTCTCTCAGCTTCGAAGCATTTGTGCTTGGAAACGCCAGTTCCACTTTGATAATTTATGTCAGTAACCACTGTCCTATTATACTAAAGCATTTTTGTCGATGAAACATTAAAGGAAGTTTGTATCATTATCCTTCCACTGTTTACACTCCCGACACAAATTGTTACAAAAAATAGCGCATTTGTTTATGGTGATTGTGGAGGAGAACAATTGAAAAAAGAGGATTTGTAAAGCCACAGTTATTTGCGGTATACCGAGGATAATACCAAGCCATTGAAACTTCGACTAACAACGTCTTCGCATTCGTCTTTGTTGATGCTAAAACTCTTTTCGTATTGGGATGTTTGGTTGCCGCAACCAAACATCGCCTTTAGTAATCAACGTTGCAATGAACGAGTATACAAGTCTAGTAGACTTTTTGGCCAACCACCATCATTAACAAAATTCTACTCGAAATAAAATACCAAAAATGAAAGTTAAATTTTTAATGTTTGATATTTTATGTTTATTGAAGTCCTTGCCGAGGGAGTCTAGCATTGGAACACGTAGCAGTTGCTTGGATTTTGGTTACACATCTACTCAGCCCATCCATCCACACATTCATTCAACCAAACCACTCTGTTGTGGATTACGAATAAAATTGTTTGAAGAAGGCCAAGGGTACTCAAGCAGAAAATTTATTGCATTTGTAAAAGATGCGAGAGTAACAAGTTAAAATGTTTATTGTTGTTGTCGTTCTGAGCTATTTATTTTTATTTGTTGGCAATTGTTGGAGTTGTTCGTAAAAATTGTAGAGTGGAGACTTACCGCAATATTACTTCGTCTGTTGTCATGATGACGTTTATTGTTGCATACTTTTAGGATCACCTTAATTGGTTTCACTACAGTCGCTGCTATACTTATCGAGATATTTTCTGTAAAGAAAAGGAAATTATATTAACAACTATTTCAATTATTATAAAAACTGTGTATGTTAAATGTTTGAATATATTTGTTAAGAAATTTTAAATGTCTTATAAAGAGGCTATACATGTATCATAGAAAGATGAAATAGTTAATACACCAATGTTATGGAAAAACAAAGCTGTGAGTCTCATACAGCGGACCTTCTGTCGTAACATCGCCCAGGAGCTAAAAATCGACCATAAAACTGTTTTAAACAATTTACACAAAGCTGGATTCAAAGAAGATGGATCGTATTTCCATCCGCGAAGCCTTGGCCAAACGGAATTCGAAAGACCCATTCCTTAAACGGATGGTGACTTGAGATGTTAAATGGATCACATACGATAAATCGGAGCGAAAGAGCGGTGAAGCACCTCAAACGGATGATAAAAAAACGGTGCATATTTGTCCCACATCGGACATTCCGAAGTATGTTAAATAAAGCCCTACAGTTCATATAAAAATAATGGATTTCTTCGATGAGTCCAATCTTCGGACATGATCTAAGTTTACTGAGAATATTACGATTTAAAAAGTTTGGATCCATTCGCTTAATATTGGTTTAAGTTTGAAAGAACTATTACGATGTGTATAGTTGTGTCAAATCGGATATTCTACACTATTTCTTTTTTTTCCTAATGTTGGCCCTTACTAGTAGGAGTCGACCGATTTTCTCCATTTTCGAAATTGATTTGTGTTTGAAAAAATAGTATAATGTGCAAAGTTTGGATCAGATAGGAAATACAATTCGCCTAATATTAGATTTTTAAATACTGAAAATGATGACCCATTGTAGAGGAGGTGCAAGAAGGAGTCTGCCAAGGGGTTCCAGCTTCGGACTCGATCTAGGCTTGGTACATGTAATAGGTTCAACAACGATTGATTCAAAACCGATAGTACGCAAAAATTTCATAATTTTGTGGGGGAGGAGAAGATGTGGACCGATATTCCCATCTACAAACTTGAACTATGTGTGGAAGAAATATTACGATATGCATCCAGAATTATCGTACGTACCAGCCAATGTGTATATTCCCTCATTAGCCATAAGGCTGGGAGTATAAAAACATCAAATCTAAACATTATAAAAAAATGGTAATAATGTATAAATAACTAAAAGTAATTAAACAAATAATATTGTCATCCACTTCTCGAAAATTGTTAATAGTAGGGGAGACTGGGGCACCTTCGGCATCGGGGCACCTTCGGCAATCGCGTTTTCGATATGAAGCTCTCACCGTACATCACTTGTTTCGATACACAGGTATCGAATATCGAAATAAATAACTGACACAAAGTTTGAAATTTCTAGCTAATAAGCTTATATAGATACAGGGGTTTTTGTATTTTTATAGATGTTTCTGTAATATTTCAATTCCATTACGTAAGTATTTCGTGTATAAAACTTTTTAAATTTTTAAGACAATATTATTAAAAAGTGGTTAACTACGATGTGTATTATTATAGAAATATTTAAAAATATAATGTTTTTACAAAACTGATCGAAAAAAATGAAAAAACTATAAAAAGTACATTCGGGGTACATTCGGCATTTTAAAGTGGGGCACATTCGGCCATATACAGATTGGGCAATATTATTTCCTTAAAATGTTTTTGAGTTTGTCTTTATAAATAATCCTTTAATATAGTTCGAAATTGCATATATAAGATCAAACGTGCTTGTATTGACGAAAATGCGATAGAAAACCCCTATTTCTGATGGTGTGTGCGACCTTGAGATGTAAACGTCCGCCGCTAGAAAATAAAGTCCCATAATTCAAACATTGTGTGTCGTATTAAAACCAAATAGAGCCTTTAGAGGATCAGAATTTCAACCAGACTGATAGCGATGACAATTACCCGGCTATGACTATGGTGCCGAATGTGCCCCATCAAATGCCGAAGCCACCCCGGGTTGGGGCACATTCGGCAATTTTGACTTTTTTTACAAAACTGTACAATTTTTTAACTTATTCTATTTTTTATATCTTTTTGGTACTATTTTTTATAATTAAGTGTCCGAGGACAATAATCAGCCATAAAGTTGTTATATATGTTGAATAAGTACTGAGATATAGACCTCTAAAAAAAAAGTGCCGAAGGTGCCCCAGTCTCCCCTAATGATTTCAAAATTGGTTCCCCCACACCGCTTATTTTCCGTGGGGCATTGACTTTTATCAATACAATTGAAACGATACACAACTACATATCAATAAATTATATCACACATGTAAAACAACCATTAACCACTCGACACCTCAAAAGAAGTACCGAATTATTTCGGTATGAATGGAATACGCCAGCCAGCCAACCATACATCCAACCAGCTAGTAAACAAATTTGCCACGCATTCAAAATATAAATTCAGGCAATATTTAACATCAAATAATTTCTTCTTCCAACAACCTTACCACACTCTTTTCGTTCGTTTCATTCAAAGGTATGTGTCGAAAATTTGCAATTTTCAGAGATATTTGTTTACAACGACAAAGAGAGGAGAACATTTAATGCATACCAAATACCGTGAGACATGCACAACTACTCCAAATCGAACATGAAATAAGGTAAATAATACGAAATGCAAAAAAAAGTGTATTTGTGTGTGTGGCTAGAAGTCGCCCACAATCAGCGGTAGCAGTGGTGGTGGAGTAACACTTGTAACATGTAAGTAATAAATTCGATATTCTTGTCCGGACAATATCATAGTGGGAGTCCAAGGAATATTGCGATGAGAAAATATACACATGCACATATTGGTGAACAGAATGAAGTAATTCGTGTGGCGGTTTTCGACAGTAAAATCACAATTTTCGCCCCCAAAAGGGCGACAACATGTGCGTTACGAATTGGCAAGCGTGTATATGAGGGATTTCGATTTTTTTGGCAAATGTATGTACGTGTATTCGTATGTGAGTACAAATAAACAATTGAACCGGAGGTCAAATATATTTTCGGAAATAATAACAAATTACTAGTTTTTAACGCCGAAAAATAATATTGTAATAATATCCTTATCGGAAACTACATATTATTATATTATAATAAGTGTTATAGTGTTTAATTTTTTACTTTAAAGAAGTTTTTTATTCAAAAAAACGGTTAAGAGAAATTCGATAAAAATACCGAATTTGGAGATATATCAAAACATTTTTTAACATCTCGGAATGCTAAAATGCGGCTAAAACGTTTAAAATATTGACTATGAAACATGGAACTATTTCGATAATCTTCTATACATATATAGGTGCTACCCAGAATCTCGGGCCAATATTATTCATTTTCAGTAGGAAAATGTTCTACCAAGTGAGGACCCAAATACCAAATTACAGCTGATTAGATTAAAACGTGTGCCCAAAAGCTTCAAAATGTCGATATAAGGAGCTACCCTTAAAACCAATATTGATCATTTTTCGTAAGAACATTTTCTATCCAAGATGACAAATTATACACAATTACATTGAAAAATGTGTCCAAAGGTATCAAAATACCGAATTTGAAGGTATGGAGGATACCCTAAAAAGTGAACCGATATATCTCATTTTAAATACCAAACATACTAAAAGTACTATCCTTAATATTGTGATATCTAGGTGGACTTTAGTTTTTAACCCATGCTTACTCAAGAACGTCTCTTTAAAATTGCAAGTGAAAATCTCAATAAATCTTGGAAATTTAAACATTATACATTAAACATTAATTTTAAGTGTTTTTTGTTTGTGATCGAAATAGAAGTTTTCCAAAAAAAAAAAAAATATTTATAGGTCCGCTATTTCGCTAATTGTTTAGCCAATTAAATAATCCTAGTTCTTGACAGAGCCAGATGTGTACTCTTCCTAAATGCGTCGGAATTTTAGGTTTCGGGTGTTCCCCGAAACAAAATCATAGTATTCGTCATGAAATTTGGCCCAACTGATTTTTTTGTTACTTGAATCGTTATTTTTGAATTTGGAAGAAATCGGTTCAGATATATAGCACACATATATAGTTTCGTCCGATTTTATGTAAATGGTGCACCAAACTCCCAATAATGGTTCGATTTAAACGAAATTTTGCACAGCATACTGAATTCAGTCCAGTTTGGCATCTTGAAGTTTTCCTGGAAATCGGTCCATATTGAGATTTTTGGTAAATGGTGCACCAAACTTTCAATATTTCTGCGATTGGCATGTAATTTTCTTATAGATTTCAGAATGTCAAGTGTATGGTTTTTATTGGCTCAAATATCTATGTAGATCACATTTGTTTTTTACCCGATTCCATGTTAATGGTCATCCAAAGATGGTATGTCTCTTCTATCAACAGGATATTGTACACATTATCATTTTTGTTTGTACCCAAAGTGGTAAAGGGTATCATATAGTCGGCCCAGTCTGACTTTTGATCTTTCCTTACTGGTTGTCTTTGAAAGCATTCATCCTTCTGTGACATTTTTCCAAATTTTGCGCTAATATTAAGCAAAATTAATGTACTATTTGCTTTAAAAATTTCTCTCTTTCATCCGAAATGTTGTCGACAGCAATTTTGCTCACTACATATTTGAAAACAGCACCAGGTTTTTTTCTTTTTGTTACCTTCTTTTCGCCATATTTCAAAAAGTTCGATTTTTTATACGGAGGTTGCCTAGATAAAAGAGGCATTACTCGTAAAACGCAAAAAATCGCAACTTGAAATAAACTTAAATTAACTCATTACTTATCACTTAATTTGTGTGCAAAATTTCAAAGAGGTCATATTGGGTCATTTTTTTTTAATAGCCTACTGAAAGTCAATCTATCAAATTACATTAACTTTTTAAAGTCTTCATAGACTAAAGGGTTATTTTCAAGTATAGTGCCACAAACATAAAAATGTTTAGATTTAATATAAACATGCTCACTTGTATCTATATTTTCCATTTTACACTAATTAATTATTGTAAACACAATCGAAATAATACGCACTCAAAGTTGATTAAGCCTCACAGAA